GAACAGTAGGTAGGAGATAATCCAGAAAGAAGATGGAAGGGGAAGGGACTGGTGGGGGAGAGGGTAAGGAACCTAGACAGAGGAAGTGCTTTAGTGTTGGAGGGAGCAGGCAAAGAAGGAGACCAGGCAAAACAAAGGTCCCCACGCACAGAAGAAACCCTTTGCTTTGGGGACTCCATACACCAAATGACTGCTGAGAGGAAGGTCTGAAATAGAAGGGGCTCACAGAAATGCTGAAAGGGAGAAAAAGGGGAAGGTGGAGAATGAGACTCTGAGGGGCCCACCCCCTGTTCTGCAACATACTCTGCCCCCCAGAACCACTCGTGGGGTCGCCAGTATTCCCATGCCCTGTTCAAGGCCATGAGTCACATGCTGTGCATTGGCTATGGGCAGCAGGCACCGGTGGGCATGCCGGACGTCTGGCTCACCATGCTCAGCATGATTGTGGGCGCCACGTGCTATGCCATGTTCATCGGTCACGCCACTGCACTTATCCAGTCCCTGGACTCTTCCCGGCGACAGTACCAGGAGAAGGTCAGCAGGGACAAGAGAGGGAAGGGGTGGGCGTGGAGAAGTGCTGGAGATTGTTGTGATGTGCCCTGTGTTCTTTCCTGCCTCATATCCATTTGTCTGTCTGCCCCCATGCCTCTGTCTGTGGACCCTCATGTGGGGTTTTTCTGTAATTGCCCTGTCTTCCTGTATCTACCACTATCCATTTGTCCTTTGTGGTCTGTGACACCACTTTTATCACTTCTGGGTTCAACTTCTGTGACCTGCATACCCCCACCCCTGTTGTTCTGGCCCCATGTTTCCACATCTTTTTCCTACTGGCGCCTGGTGCTGCCTCCCCAGTACAAGCAGGTGGAGCAGTATATGTCCTTCCACAAGCTGCCAGCTGACACACGGCAGCGCATCCATGAGTACTACGAGCACCGCTACCAGGGCAAGATGTTCGATGAAGAGAGCATCCTGGGGGAGCTGAGCGAGCCACTTCGGGAGGTGGGGCCAGGCTGGACTCTTCAAGGGGAGGGCTCTTCAAGGATCTGGGCTTCTGGAGGTGCAGTCTGGGCTACAAGGGAGTGGTTATCAGGTGTTCCTGTGGGAGGGAGGACAAGCATTTGAGGGGAGATGGCTTTCTATGGAAGATCTTTTGGGAGCAAAGGCTATCTGAAAAGGGGTTGTCAGATACCATGGCACAGCATGGAAAGGTCTTAAAGGCAGGTTCTCAGGGAGATCCCCACAACCATCCATTGACAGCTCTTGACAGGATGGATGGGTCTTCTGGAGAAAAATGAGCTTGGTGGGGGCATCTTCCAGCAGGAGGCAGAGCCACTCTGATAGGCTCCTCCTATGTCCAGGAGATTATTAACTTCACCTGCCGGGGCCTGGTAGCCCACATGCCGCTGTTTGCTCATGCTGACCCCAGTTTCGTCACTGCAGTACTCACCAAACTCCGTTTTGAGGTCTTCCAGCCAGGGGATCTGGTGGTGCGTGAGGGCTCCGTGGGCAGGAAGATGTACTTCATCCAGCATGGGCTGCTCAGTGTGCTGGCACGGGGCGCCCGGGACACTCGCCTCACTGATGGATCCTACTTTGGGGGTCAGCAGGTCTTGGGGAATGTGGGGGGTCATGATCATTGGACAGAATGCAGTTGCTCCCTAGGATCAGGGGCCCACCTGTTTGTGCTACAGGAACACTCAACAACCCTTCCCCAGACCTCAGTGAGTTTCTGAGCTGGGGCCTGAAGCTCTTTTTTATTTTATTTTATTTTTTGAGACAAAGTCTCTCCATTATGTAGCTCTGGCTGTCCTGGAACTCACTATGTTCATCAGGCTGGCCTTGAACTCACAGATATCCATCTGCCTCTGCTTCTCAAGTGCTGGGATTAAAGGCATACACCACCACATCTTGTGGTTGCTTTTCTTATTTATTTTATTCTTTATTTTTTTCCTGAGTATCACAAAAGTTTATTTAGCAAAAATTTTGATATGAAAATGTACATGACCCAATTCTACATCACAATCAAACAGATCTTTTAAGGAGGAATGTGGACGCCTCTTCTGAACAGACATCGTTTAGAATTTTTTAAGGCTTCTAACATGATGATGCTGTTTCTTCATATGACCACCATTCTGATGTTATTCTGTTGCCTACTAGTTAACTTCTCCACACACTGATCAATCACAAGATTCATAAAGGGATCAAAGCCCTGTTATTCCTTGTACATTTAACTTTAATGATAACTTCTGGTCCATAAATTTCTTCAATTCAGGAGGGTGGGCCTTACTCACAGCGACTCCTCAGTGGGCTCAGCATGACAGGGAAGGGGTGTTCAGCCTCATGAACGTGCATGCGGCAGGCTTGGCGCTGATATCTGACCTATTTTATGTTTTAAAAAGCTTCTCAGGAGAGTCTAGTGTATGTCCAGGGCTAACAGCCCTTTAGGATTGATTGTTAATGACAAAATGCAAGGATCCCATGAGTTCAGGGATGAAAGCCAGGAATGAAGCAGACTTAAGCTTTGTGGGGCTGTCCAGAAACTCAGCCATGCCAATGCTGCCAGCCACTGCCCAGAGTGACTGAGGCTCATATAACCTGCCAGCTGCCTAATTACTCACCACCTTCAAGCAGCCCACCAGACACTTTGTGTCTATTTAGTCTGCTCTTCTCTGGGGCCTTCACTCAAGGCAGGATGGAGTGACTGGACTGGGATTAGAGTTAATGTGCAGAGGAACTGGGAACATCTGGGACTGGCAGACATGTTTGCTTAATTTAAAGAGAATTAAAAAGTTAGTGAGTAGCCTTTCCGATATGCACAGGTCTGGAGACAGACTGCCTGGAGCAGTTAGGGACAAGGTTACTATTAATTCCTCCCAAGCCTAAGGACAGAACTGAGAATCCTGGGCTAGTTGCTGCAGGCCTAGTGGGAGGGAGCTCTGTGGCCTGGAGTTCTGAGCCTCTTCTCAACTTTTGCAGAGATCTGCCTGCTGACTCGAGGCCGGAGAACAGCCAGTGTAAGGGCTGACACCTACTGTCGCCTCTACTCGCTCAGCGTGGATCACTTCAATGCAGTGCTTGAGGAGTTCCCAATGATGAGAAGGGCTTTTGAGACTGTGGCTATGGACCGGCTCCGTCGCATAGGTGAGGCCTGCTTACTCTGTCTTCTCTGGGTCCTGGCTGGGCCTCACCTTATTTTTATAGCAAGGAGCCTAGCCCTAGAGCTTTGGAAGTACACCTCAGCCCACCAGGTTCCAGTCCATGCCTCCAGCAGGTCACTGTCGCTCACTTTTCTTACCCCTAGCAAGCCATAGCCATGGATATATCTCCCTAAACCTTTATTCCTCAAGCCCTCTTGGAGACCAGTCCTTAACCTCACTGTTTAACTGATGCCACCTTCTGGCTTCTGTTGCTAAGCATTCTTTTCATAGATCCCCTCACTCCCAGACTCCCTCACATTCTGTTTATCCAGCCTCTGAATTAGAGTCCTTCCTTTTCCTAATTTCTTGGTCCTGGGACAACTTGTAGGTAAAAAGAATTCGATATTGCAGCGGAAACGCTCTGAGCCAAGTCCGGGCAGCAGCGGTGGCGTCATGGAACAGCATTTGGTACAACATGACAGAGATATGGCTCGTGGTATTCGGGGCCTGGCTCCTGGCACAGGGGCTCGGCTCAGTGGAAAGCCAGTGCTGTGGGAACCACTGGTGCATGCACCTCTGCAGGCAGCTGCTGTGACCTCCAACGTGGCCATAGCCCTGACTCACCAGCGAGGCCCTCTGCCCCTCTCCCCTGACTCTCCAGCCACCCTCCTTGCTCGCTCCGCTAGACGCTCAGCAGGCTCCCCAGCATCCCCACTGGTGCCTGTCCGGGCAGGTCCTCTGCTGGCCCGGGGACCCTGGGCATCCACCTCTCGCTTGCCTGCCCCACCTGCCCGAACCCTCCATGCCAGCCTGTCCCGAGCAGGGCGTTCCCAGGTGTCCCTGCTGGGCCCTCCCCAGGGAGGAGGTGGTCGGAGGCTTGGACCTCGGGGCCGTCCACTCTCCGCCTCTCAACCCTCTCTGCCTCAGCGAACAACAGGTGATGGCTCTCCAGGGCGCAAAGGCTCTGGAAGTGAGCGCCTGCCCCCCTCTGGGCTCCTGGCCAAGTCTCCAGGGACAGTCCAGCCACCCAGGCTACCAGTGCCTGAGCCGGTTCCCGCCAGAGGCCCCCAAATTTCTGCCAACATGTGAAATCCTAGGTTACACTGGCCTTAGCTATTGACATACAATAATGTGTGTCTGAGGGTGGGAGCACCTTGGGGAAGGCTGTAGAGATCTAACATACTGCCCCTTACTACCACGAAGCTGCTCTGTGTCTTCAGCTCTAGCAGCTGCAGCCTGCTAGTCTTAATCATATTCCCATTTGTCATACATAGGTGTCCAGTGTCTATCATGTTCAAGGCACTGTTCTAGGTACTGTGTGTCTCCACTGTCAAGTAGGAGTGACTCAAAGCCCTCTAAGAAGGGTGACCCCAGGCTACAGTCCTGCTAGGAGCAGGCCTGGGCCCACAACCCTGCCTTCAAAGCCCAAGTACTTCTGCCACCATCACTGCCAAGTAACTAGATGGCTATTTTCCCATCAGTGGCCCTGCAGGTTTTGCCCAGTGAGCCCTATACTCTCATCCCTGTGGTCATAGCCGGGGCCTGTCAATTATCTATTACAGCCAACAGACATCTAGCACCCTGAATGTGAACATCCACCCTCTCACTGCCACCCGTGGGCCCTCCTTGTCCATATCAAGTGAGAACAGTGTCTGCCCACTATAGCCCACCCTGTGCAGCTCCTGTGCAGTAGCACTGCCTTTGTAAACTAGAAACTGCTCTTCACTGTGCGCCCCTAAAGCTAAGGGAGACTTGGAACCTTCTTACTTACTATGCCAGCCTAGCTTCCCCCAGGTAGGGGGCAAGGGGCTGAATCCTCATGTGACCTTTTATCTTTCCCTCTTTGTCTTATTTATGCAGTCCTTTATTAATTTTATTTATTCATTTGCTAATTTGACTTATTCGTTTTGTTACTCATTTATCTTTCCTCCTCACCTCCTGGCAGGGAGGCTAGGGGGTTAGGGAGACATCTTTGTGGTCCTTGTACAATGCCATCAGCAGCAACACTCAAACTCTGTATTGAGGTAGTGGAAAGAGGGAACGACAGGAGGACTGAACACATTTTCCCCCTTATCTGGGTTTGCTGTTGCTGCAGGAGAAGAGGGAGCCCTGGAGTACCCGAACCTAGGATGGGCAGGCCAGCAACCCCTTTGCTTTCTCAGGGACAAGAGTAATGCACTGCTCACTCGCTCTTCCCCCTTTCGTACACTGTAGCATTGAAGTGGGGGGGGGCAGGACCAACGTCCTTTGGTGAGGTATTCTGGGATTCTTTACCTGTGGGAGTTGTTTTATTTGCACCTAAATAATTGGGTTTAAAAAGAAAATATTAATTTTTGCTTCTGACCTGTATATGGAAACAAAGTGGTTGTGGAAGAGTTTCTGAATCATCTGACCCAGCAGAGCAGTGGGCATGAGAACAGCCAGATTAGTGGATTGTGAGCTCAGCTCCATGGTTGTAGAGTCAGTAAGAAAATAAGGCTGCCCAAAGTCCAGCTGGTGGTTCATGCCTGTAATCCCTACCCTTGAGAGGGCCAGGCAAGAGGATTTCCACAAGTAAGAGGTCAGCCTAAGCTATACAGTGAGACCTTGTCTCAAAAAAAAAAAAAAAAAAAAAAAAAAAAAAAAGCCAGTCTGTCTCAGTTCTCCCCAATACCCATCCACCTCAGCCTCCCCTAAAAGTGTGGCATTGTGCTCCCTGAAGGAGTGTTTGGCTCTGACTTGAGGCCATCAGAAGATGACACTTTGCTCCAGAAATGGTCATGTGGGTTACATCAGAGGACAGAAGTATTTTAAAAATAATGGTTCTATGGAGATTGGCTGAGATCACCCTGTTTCCACTCCCCCGTTCTAACGTTAGGAAGCCCAGAGGAATAGAATTAACCAGCTGGGCTGGGATTAAAGGCTCAGGGCATCTTAGAATCCAGCTGAGCGGATTGAGACAGGGATATACAATTGCTGCTGCTGGATGGCCAGTGCATAAGTGGACCCAGACATTCAGGGCCCATGAGAAGCATAGGGATGGGGTGATGGCAGATGTACAACTGTGGGAGGGTGTTGGTTGAAAGAAATGGGTACATCTAGGTCAGAAGGGGGAGAGGCCTTTCAGGATATGCTCAGAACCCGCATAATGTTGGTATAGCCAGAGCCAGGTCGCCAGCCAGTCACCACAATCACCAAATCACCAACATGGAGGAAGCCATGGAGCTTTCCTGGTAGAGAAAAAGGTGGCAGTCATTGAAGAATCTAGGTCAGCCATTACCACACACCAATCAAGGCCACACTTTAGGGGAGAAGGAAACTGAACCAGTGGTTTGAGGGGATGGATATGGTTTCTAAGCCTTTGCATCCATGTGGCTGTACTAATGGGACAAGGGCAGGTATGATCAGACAACTATAAATTCAAACTTAGTTCCAGCTCTTCTGGCTTTCTGTTCTCTTGTCCTATTAGGTTGTGGCAGACAACAGCAGAGACTTCTTAGGGATACTTCTGTTTTTACACCCTTCTCAGCTTAACCTCCCTGCTTAGAGTCTAAGACACTTGTCCATCATAGTGATTACTATGAACAATCTTGGACCAGTGAGGACAGGTAAAACCTTTGAGTTGGGGCAATAAGCCAGGCTGGGGAGCAGAAGAGCAAGGCTTACCACTTTCGATGCCAAATTGGACCCTTCGATCCACATCATCTGCCCAGATGGCCTCTGGAGGCTCACAGTAGAGCAAGGGGAAGACTCCTCGGCACAGGTGGACCTGTCGGGCAGCCTGGGCAGAACGAGTCACAGCAATGACAGCTGCCCGAGGTCGGTACCGAGCTAGCAGCTGAGCCGAGCTGGGTGAGAAGGAGAATGTTAGCTCAGAACATCAGAGTGTTGACTCAAGAAACGAGTTTGAATTGTGTTTCCTGGTGTCATTAACAAGCTGTGTTGCCCTGGGTAAATTCTAGTTCTCTAGCTCTTATCATTCTCACTAAGTATTAAGAGTATCTACCATGTTGGACAGATAGGCTCAGCCTTTAATAGCTCTTGCTGGGTTCAGTTTTTAACACCAGGGTGGTGGCTAAATCCAGTTTCAGGGGTTCTGACACCCTTTTCTGGCCTCCAGTGGCACATACAATGGTGCACAGACATACATGCAGGCTAAATGTCCTTACATATTAAAAATAATATTAATAAAATAAAAGCAAAACCTGAGCTAGGGAGATGGCTCAGCCCTTAAGAGCTCTTACTGCTCTTTTAGAGGACCTGAGTTGGTTCCGAGTATCCACAACAAGTAGCTTACAAGTGCCTATATCTCCAGCTTCAGAGAATTCAGCACCCTCTTCTGGCCCCAGGAACTGTACATATAAGCAAACACACACAAATGAACATAATTAAAAATAATAAATCTTCAAAAATTGGAAATGTAAAACCAGCTGGCACATGCCCAGTACTTGGGAGATGGGTGGAGGCTGAGGTGTAAGGTTGAGGCTACTTCAGCTGCAAAGTAAGATTAAGACTAGCCAGGACTAATGGGCCCCTATTTCAGAATAAATTCTATGAAAACCAGTAGTGGTGGCACATACTTTTTTTTTTTTTTTTAAAGATTTATTTGTTATGTATACAGTGTTCTGTCTGCATGTTCACCTGTACAACCAGAAGAGGGCACCAGATCTCATTTTTTAGATGGTTGTGAGCCACTGTATGGTTGCTGGGAATTGAACTCAGGACCTTTGGAAGAGCAGCCAGTGCTCTTAACCTCTGAGCCATCTCTCCAGCCCTGGTGGCACATACTTTTAATCCTAGTGCACAGGAAGACAGAGACAGGCAGATTGATGTGGGTTGGAGGCCAGCCTGGTCTACAAAGAGAGTCCAGGACAGCCAAGGATGCAAAGGGAAACCCTGTCTCAAAAAAGAAAAAAGAAAAGAAAGAAAAAAAAAATCCTATCAAACAACAAAAGAGGGTAAAACTCACTAGAAGATGTATAACATCTCCTGTTGTTAATCCTCATAACCGCTTGGGGGAACAAACAGCAAACTCTCATAGATCCAAGGAGACAGAGATGTCTTGTGGAGCTCAAGTGAGGGTCTCAGTGCTAAGTCTGAGCCTCAGCATTCAGCCTTACGGGCTCTTCAGCAGCAGTTCAGCACCGTGAAGCCCTCTTAGCCCCAGGAGCTGAACCCAACGTGCTTCAGTTATAACTTGCCAGTTCCCTGGAGCCCACTGGCATAGGTCCTAAGGTGCCCCAGAGCCACCTTCCTGGCCTCCAGCATGCGTAGCTCTCACATTTCTTGCGCTGAAGCAATACTTTCATCACTCAGTGTGTCAGCTGCTCCCGACCAAAGCCCTGTCTCCAGTACGTTTCTCACCGTCCAGTCTTGGTGAGCACAATAATGGCTGCGGCACAACACTTGAAGGAAGCCTCCACAGCTCCGATAGCGGTGACCTCAGTGGGGTCGCGGCTCAGTGGTGCTGCCCGGCGTAGCTCTTCGAACAACTGGCGGTGGTATACAGCGGCCTCTGCCTCTCGGGCAATCTGTAGGTACAGTAGGTTGAGCCAGGTACAGAGTCAGGGAGTTGCAGTGCGGTCTGAGTCCCTGGTCCGTAGGCTTTTCTGAACTGAGTTCCTACCGCGTGTTGCATCCTTACGGCCTCAACGGGGAAGCTGCCCTTGGCGGTCTCCCCAGACAGCATGATGCAGTCGGCCCCGTCCAGCACAGCATTGGCCACATCGCTTGTCTCCGCCCGAGTTGGTCTAGCCTTAGTGATCATGCTCTCCAGCATCTGGGTGACACCATGTATCGCAAAACTGTTAGAAGTCACATTCTGATTGGGGACCCTGCCCTTACTACTTCTCTGGCACCTGCACTCTTAGAATGCCAGGGTCACAGTGAGATCCAGGAAGTTCAAATCATCATTTGTGACCAGACACCAATCGCAAAATGTAGATCTGAGGTTGCTTTAGCCCAGCCCAAGGGTTCACTCCAGACCTGCGTGGCGCAAACGACAGGCTTGCCGGCCAAGTTGCAGCGTCCAATCATCATCTTCTGAGCCAAGAAAACCTTCTCAGCTGGGATCTCAATGCCCAGGTCACCCCGTGCCACCATGATGCCGTCACTCACCTCAAGAATTTCGTCAAACCTGGGTGGTCAGAGTCAGGAGATGCATGGGGGTGGCATGCGGAAGAGGGGCAATGGGAAACAGGGCTGACGGGACCAAAGACCAAGCCTCACTTCTTCACTCCTTCATGGTTCTCAATTTTGCTGATAATTTTGATGCCCTGTCCTTCTGGCCCCAGCGCAGCCCGGACTGCAGCCACGTCGCTGGCTTTTCGTACAAAGGAGGCAAAGATGATGTCCACATTATGCTCCACCCCGAAGCGCAGATCCAAGAGGTCTTGCTCAGACAGCCCAGGCAGGTCCACCTCGGCGTTTGGCAAGTTCACACCCTTTCTGCTGCCCAGGATACCTCCATGCTCCACTTCCGTCACCAGCCCTTCTGGGCCTGAGGGTATAGAGAGAGCTGGCGTCTGTCAAGGCTGACACCGGGATATAGGCACAGCAGACAGAACTCTTAAGCTTGGAGCCTCAAGAAATCAGAGACTTCTGAGCCCTTCACTGCCCTCCACACACTCCCAGAAGAGGCTTCAAAGGCTCAGTCCCGATCCGCAATGAGGGCAAGGAACCACTAGGACAGGTGGGGAAGCAGACCCTGCCAGGGCAAGGTGTGGGTGGTCTAGAGCAGACGGAACATAGAAACCACAGGGAAGAGAAGGTGTCCCATCTTGGGGCACCCCACAAGAGCAGAAGGCACTTCCGCACCGATTTTCCGCACCACTAAGGAGATGAGCCCGTCGTCAATGTAGATACGGCCTCCCACTGCAACGACCCGGATGATATTGGGGTAGTCCACCCACACCGTGTTCGCGTTGCACCGTGTTTGGAACTCCGGGTCTACGGTCACCAGCACCTGTGAGCCCTTCACAATCTCCACCTCTAACTCTGGGCCCTGGGGAGTGGGGTGGGGCGGGCAGAGAAGCCCGAGTTTCACACGTGGCCCTCACAGGGCAGGACCCGCACTGACGTACTGTCTCCCACCCCAGGGCTCTCACACTCCCCGGGCCCCCAGACAGCGAGGATCCAGAGACTTCTCACCCCCTGCAGGACCCCGGTGCGTATCTCAGGTCCCTTGGTGTCCAGGGCGATGGCCACAGGCCTGTAGCTGAGTGGGGAGCTTGCAAAGCTCTCAGTTGCCTCCCGGATGTTGGCGATGGACTCTGCGTGGTACTAGCAGTGAGAGCAGGAGTGAAACCGGAATTTCAAGGGAAAGTGCTGTCCATCAGGGGCGTTCTCCAGCTCCGCCCACCACAACCTCCCCATACCTTGTGGGAACCATGGGAGAAGTTGAGTCGTGCAATGTTCATGCCTGCCTTGATCATCTCCTTGAGGCGTTCCACAGAGCGTGATGCTGGCCCTGGAACCAGAGAGCCCAGTGAGAAGGTCCTCCCAAACTTGACTGATGGCCAAACCTATCTGCACCGTTGGAGACACTCCCTGACCCAGGAGTCTTTCATTCTCAGAAGTTCCTCTACGCACAGGCCATAAACTCCTTTTTCCCACTCCACGCAGCATACACGTCTTGTGAAGACAGCTTGTGGGGATGTTTAGCTTCAGGCAGGCCTTTGGTACCTTTGTTTACAAGTGCCATGACGTTAAGTGCCACACTATGGAGGTTGCTCTAGGTGTGAAGGGTCAGAGGCGGGCTAAGAAGGCCAAGTAGGCGCTTTTACAGCCAAGAGGGTTCCCTGACAGAGCTGAGTTCTGTGCCATCCTCATCAGCCTACAGGAGCAGTAGCACATGGTAAGTACTTCCCTCCCCTCCTATTTTGCTGCTCTGGAGAAGGGCCTCCGACATGCACTGAGCTGCGCCTGTCCTTTATTTCCCTTCCATCCTTCCTTCCTGCTGAGACAGGGTCTTATGTAACCCAGGTTAGCCTTGAATTTTTAATTTTCGTGTGTGTGGTCAGAATCCATCATGTGAATTTCTGAGATTGAATTCAGGTCATCAGGCTCCCTTACAAGCCAATGAGCCATCTCTGGGCATAAATGTTTGATCCTCCTGCTTCTGTCTCTCATGTGATGCTATTAAAGTACACCACCAACCTGGCTCTCCATCATGCTGTGTGTCATGCTGCATGTGTATATGTGTGAATGGTGTGTGTGGTATATGTGTGTGTGTTGTGTGAGTACTGTGTGTGTGGTGTGTGTGTGATGCACGAGAGGTTGTGTGTGATTGGTATGTAAGTGGTGTGTGTGAGTGGGTGGTGTGTATATGTGTGTATGTGTGTGTGTGTGGTGTGTGATGTGTAAGTGTGGTGTGTGTATGTGGTGTGGTGTGTGAGTGATCTGTGTATGTGGAGAGTATTGTGTATGTGTGTGCATTGTGTGTGTGCTTTCTGGTATATGTGTGTGTGCTATGTAAGTGGTATGTGTGTGTATGTGGTATATGTGTTGGGTGTTTGTATGTGTATGTAGTATGTGTGTGTGTGTGGTGTGTGTGTCTGCCTGGTCCTCAGCTCTCACCATTTCTACCTTTACTCGTCTGTGATCCCAACTGTCCTTACACTTGGGAGACCATCTGTGTGCAGGTGACACCTTTCTTTCCTTTTTCTTTTTTCTTTTTAAGTTAGGGTCTCTATTTAGCTCAGGTTGGCCTCAAATTTACAACAACTCTCAGTTTCTTCAGTGTGGATACAGGCATGAGCCACCACACTTGCTAATTCCTATTTTTGTTTATTTATTTATTTGTTTTTTCAAGACAGGGTTTCTCTGTGTAGCAGTGGCTGTTCTGGAACTCACTCTGTAGACCAGGCTGTCTTTGAACTCACAGATCTGCTTGCCTCTGCTTCCCGAGTGCTGAGACTGAAGTCATGCACCCCCATGCTCAGCTACTGATTTCTATTTTATACCTCCGTTTCAGATCACTTTCCCAATCCTAGAGCTAAATATCTGTCTCCTTATTGTCCTTGTTCAACCCATCAACTCATCAGGAAATTCCCATGGCTCAACTTTCTTCCACCTCACACACTATAACCTGCTGAGCAAGGACTGTAGGAGAGCCCTGTCCTTGCCCTCATTCAGCACCTCAGCCTATTTCCAGGTAGGATGATGCTCATCTGTCACCTCGGCAGTGGGGATGCAAGAGTTCCAGTCTAGCCTGAGCTACAGGACAAGAGACCCTTGACCAACAAGCTGAAAAGCCAAAAAGAAAAGAAAAACCAGAGTGCAAGGAGGGAGGCTGAAGCAGGATGACTACAAGGTCACAAGCTGCCTGAGCTGTAGAGGCAGTCAAGGCCAGCCAGGGCAATCCAGAAAGATTATGTCAAAATAAAAAGTAAAAAGACAGCTAAGGATGTGAATTGTGGTAGAGTCCTTGCCAGGCCCTCAAAGCTCTGAATCCAATCTCAGCACACACACGCACACACAGCCCCCTCCAGGCCCTGCCCTCCCCCAGTCTCTTCTTGCCTGCTATGCTCTAATGCTACTCTAGGCCTCCTTTGTGTTTTAAGATTGATTTTTAAACTATGTGTGTCTGAGTGTGAGTATGTGCAAATGAATAAGGATCAGTTGACATCATCTTACTTAGAGCTAGGATTACAGGTATTGTAAATTGCTCAGTGGGGTTTTGGGAACTGCGCTAGTGTCTTCTGGAAGAGCAATACTCAATCTTAATGGCTGAGCAATCTGCCTCAATTCCAGGGCACATTGGTTTAGGATCTGGGCATTGATTTTTTTCTTTGCCTGGGCTTCTCTTCCCCCAAATACCTGCAGAGCTCTTTCTCCCCCTTTCTTGCTGTCTTCTTCTTCTTTCAGTATTATTATTTTAATTTTAATTTTCAGAGTGTCATGTAGCCCAGATTGGCCTTAAAGTTGATGCATAGCTGAAGATGACCCTGGGTTTTTCACCCTCCTGCTTGCACTGCCCAGTGCTGGGATTGCAAGGCTGTTCCAGTCCAGCTGAATTCACCCCACGCCAGACCCTTCCTCCAGGACCAACTGGCTACATCCCCAGCTGCATTTTTTTTTTTTTTTGTCTTTGAGACAGCATTTCACTTTGTAGCCCCAGCTGGCCTCTAAGCAATCCTCACTCACACTGTGGGGGTTATGGATGTGAACCCGCCACCATCTCCATCTTTTCCACAGCAGCCCTGGTCCCTGTTTGGGACCATAGTCTTCCTCCTGCTTTCACACTCTATATTGCTGACCACATCTTCTCTTTACTTATAACTTTCTAATATACTGAATTAACTACATTTTGGTCTTTTTTTTTTTTTTTTTTTCCTGGTTTGTTTGTTTTTGCGTTTTGAAACATGGTTTCTCTATGTAGCCCTGGCTGTCCTGGAACTCACTTATGTAGACCAGGCTGGCCTTAAACTCACAGAAATCCACCTGCTTCTGCTTTCAAAGCACTGGGATTAAAAGCTTGAGCCACCACAGCCGGCTTTGAATTGGTTACATTTTTAGTAAGTTATTGCTTAGTATTTGCTGTCCCACCTGTTAGATTGCCCTTACATGTTTATTTACTGATCTACCCCAATTCTAACCCTATCTTCTAGGTACTCAACAAGGACTGGTAAGATGGGTGTGGTATCACATACCTGTGATCTCACTAGGTTCAGTCTACATAAAATGGGCTATATAATAAGCTTGAAACCATCCAAGGCTACTTGAGATCCTGTCTCAAAAACCTAGCCTCAAGCTGGGTGTGGTGGCACATGCCTTTAATCCTAGTCCAGCAAAAGACCCTGTCTCAAAAGACAGACAATAAACAAACAAAGAACCCTCCAAAAAAAAAAAAATCCCTTCACAAATATTTGTCGAATGAATGACTGTGTCAAAGATAGCAAAAATAAAGAGACACCTTGAGCCATCGCAGTGGCCCTGTGTAGCTTCTGGGGGTTAGGCAGTCTTACCAATGGTGGCAATGATGCTGGTACTACGAGCAGCCACAGGTTCTGAGTCGATGTCCAGGAGGCAGAGGTGCTCCAGGAAGGTGTCTGCCATAGCTGCGGGCAGTTGCTGCTGCTGGAAGAAGGCAATGCCCAGCTCCTGGGCCAGTTGGGCCGCACTAGCACGTCGAAGGTATCCTGCTGGCCCTGTAGTAGAAGGGGACTCTGGGTCTTGTACAGACACCTGCCTGTCGTCCATGTTCCTCCTGTGAGTGTGGGCTGTGCTCATTCGGCTCTGCAGTTTGTGTGAGGCCTTCCTTCAATCTGAGTATCATAACCTGTTACTTTGTTTAGTCTAGAGGGTCCTATAGAACAGGCTGTTAGGTTACAAATAAGGAAAAAGACAGAAAGATAAAACACATTGTCCAAGAAAAGTGCTTTGTCTGAGTAATTTGCTTCAAATCTGGGTCTAACTCCAAGCTCATGTTCTTATCCCAACTGCAGAGAGCCTTCCCCACTCCACACTCTTTTCAGATCATTTACTCTCCCAGAAGTCTCTTCAACCCTGCATCTTATTATCTAGTCCCTGAATCAACCAGTTCCTTTTCCTAAAGTTCCTATTGATTTCTTTCCAGCTCCAGGCAATTTGATGGCTTCCCCACTCTCCTCCTCTCCAAGTTCCCTCCGTCCTCTCAGTGCTGTTCCAGCCTGGGGGCTCCTGTAGGTTGACCCAGCCCAGCTCAGTAGAGCACCTGCCATGCTGCTGTGTTACCTGTCCTGGCTGTGGGTCTGCTTTATGCTGTGGCGCTGTCAGTGGTATGAGGCCTGACTGAGATGAGATCTGAGGACTGGTTAAAGGATAACCAGCTATCATCTCTCTTGCCAATGGAAGCCTTGTACAAAGGGGCCAGAGTCCAGGAACCATGGGATTGCCCCGTGGCATCTATGCTGCTGGATCCCCTTTGGCCTGTCTGCAGAGCCTGGATCAAAGGCTCAGATCAGGTCTGTATTTAACATAGGTGACACTGATGGCCATCCTTGCCCCAAAGCTTCTACCCCCAACTCTGAGTTTACTCTAATTCTTCCCTATGTTCAGTGGTGTCCCTTCATCTTCTTACCTCCTGGAGCCCCACTTAGGACAGACTTTGCTAAGTCTTTTTGGGACCTAGAGATCCACGGCCAGAGCTGCTGGGGTAGAAAGTTCTCTTGGATGGACATGCTTCCAAAGTGTGGGGCTTGGGCTGCAGGAACCATAGACTGGGTGGAGAGAGTGCCCTAACTGCTGGTCTTATCAGAGGGAGCCAGAGAATAAAAAAGGGGCACACCCAGTACAGTTCCACCCTGAGAGTCCCTTCTCGGGGACTGCCAGTTGTCAGCCCCCACCTTTTCCCTTCACTTAGGTCATTCATAGTTCCTGATCAATTTTTTGCCCATTCACACTGTCTGCTCATCAACTCCAATAGAGACCTTGGTTGCCAATGATACAATCCCTTTCTCTTTGTATTTTATTAAAGAGAATCTTAGGTATATTCTCAGAGCAAGCACTTAGAGGTGGGAACTAGATTGTAGAAAACAGGGGAGAAACCTTTGATGGTATAAAAGTCAGAGGTATCTTAGTTACTCCTGCTTGTTACTCTGTGAACACAAAGATGAAACCAAGAACATTTCTGAGCATTAATTAATAAACTTGTTTAAATTGTCATTGATCAGCCATATTGATAAACACATTGGAAGCTGTTCTGAGCACAGCCAAACCTCTTCAGCCATCATAGGGATGCCTCATCCAACTTACTCTTTATCACAGCAACAGGGAGAATGCCTTGCTGGCCACCATGAGGGTAAACTGCAGACTGCTGGTAAAATTTCCTATAAGTTCTCTCCATTGACCACCTGGCACTTGGCGACTCCAGATGTTGGAAGTCAAGCAGATGGAACCTTTCCCATCTGTAGATTATAGTATAGTGGGGAGAGAGCTTACTAGCAAATAAGTAAGTAAGTAAGTAAACAAATGTATTTAAATGTATTGCTGGTAGGGACATAATATAATCCAGGTAAGTTTTTAGGTAGTACTAGCTGATGCATGGAGTCAGTATCAGATTACAGGAGACACTGGTGGGCCTTGGGAGCACTGAGGCTTGCCTGGCTGGCATTGTGGAGAAGGAGTAGTCTATGAGGTGTTTTGGAGAAAGGCAGAGTCGAATGGCTGAGGAGTTGTGCTGAGAGGCTCTAAGTCTGGTTTTGTGCTCGAGTCAGTGCTGACTGCCCTTCCAGAACCAGAACTGAGGCACTATGGGTAGGAAGAATCCATCTTTCTCCGAGGCTGGCCTTGAATGTGTGATGGTCAATTCTGTAACAACCTATGTTCCTGTGATAAGGGAGCAAAGGGTTTTCCTAGGGAGGTAAGACATGAGGCTTCGGGCTGGGTCTACAGTGGACTCTGACCTGTGGTAGTCATAAAGGTCGTCTAAGTCTAAGTGGGCCTGCTTCTGAGCTAAAGGATTAGGGAGGCGCTGAAGGGTGAAAGGGCACAAAGGGCTTTTCAAAGGGGCCCTGATATACTCAAGAGGTGGGTGGAGAGTGGTGCCCGTTGCCCATTGAGATAAGTGAGGAAAGAGGCTTAACATGGAGAAACTCCAGTCTTCTGTTTTGGACAGGCTGTGTTGGAGGTGCCAGCTAATCATTAAACCCAGGGCTGGCAGCTGATCTGTTCACTGAGCAGGGGTGCCTGTGCTTCCCTGACATGGCAGGGGGACCTAGGGAACTGAAGAGGGTGTGTTGTGTGCATGGGGTGCTCTAAACCCTGTCTCTACTCCCTTCTGCTCTGCTTTGGGGACAAAGGCCTTTGTCCATGGCTTCTACAGAGTTTGACCAGTGGAGAACAGTGCCCATGGGAGAACAGGTGAGGAGAAGGAGGCTTAGCCTATGTTCCTACCAGAGGAGACTTTCTGTCCAGATTCTCGGAGCTGCCTCCATCCCTGGCCTTCTGGGGTAATAAGCTCACTAAGGCAATCCTTGACTATTGCAGTTTACTGATCCTGTTATCCGTATCTCTGCGGCTAATTTTGTTAAACTCAAACTCTTTAATTTGAGGGAATGCTTCATTTCTCAGAGGAGCTGTGTCCCAGGCTGAAAATCATCGGAGAGATAGTGTGTGTGAGCCTGCCCTGGAACCACCAGGCTGCTCTCCTTGCCTCTGGGGACTTCTGTGGAAGGAAGGAGAAATCTCAGACTCTGGAGTTGAAAATCAGAGTTAAATAGAAGGAAGGTGGTGTTTCTAATGGAAAATGAGCATGGGAGTCTTGGGGTGTCAGCATTTAGAGTATAGAACAGCTAAGCAGCAGAGAGGAATGGCAGATGCCAAGGACTAGGATCTTGAGTCAGGAAGACACACCAGAGTGTGTCGCCATTTTGTCAATTTTATTTTCTTAATCTAGTTTAACTCTAATGCCGAGTTCCCATCTCTCCTGTTAGGTGGAAAATTTCATTGCTTTTCTCAGGGCTCTTGTCACCCAGATGCAAGCCTCTCTGTTCTCTCTAGAGGGTACCACATTCAGGAATCATTGATACCCTTAGGTCACAGGTTCTGGGCCCCAGTTCTGTGTGCAACTAAAAGTTTCTAAGAACCAGGACGCTCTTCCACCTCCACCCTGCCTCCCTCTCTCTGCACGCACAACACATTAACAGGCACACTGAAAATCATACACATGCACACTCTCATGTGCACTCACGCTTTTCACTCCCAGCAACCAAGTGAAGCTGTGTCCTCAGCCTCAGGAGGACAGGGCTTTACTTGGCATACCAGCACAAGGGCCCTGGCAGCCTGTGAGGAGCGCTAGAGAGCTACTCTGCCAGCCCAGCCAGGTGAGAAGGGATCCTCTGTAAACCAAGATAACCAACCCCGGGGAGGGTTCGGGGTGATAAGGTCAGGGTTTCTAGGGAGTGCTGTGAAGAGTGAGGAGGAGCTGCAGCTCCCCAGCCTCTTCTCCCTCCTCTGAGGCTGGGTGTGTTCAAAATGTGCTTCTGCATATTTGGAAGGATATTTGTGTCGCACATGAAATGCACGTTCTACTCCGCTGCTGGAGCCGGTCTCTGAGTTGCCTGTGTATTCCAAGTAACAGGCTATGCAGACACAAAGAACAGGGGCCTTGTGAGACCAGCAGCAGCAGAGGCCCACATAGCCCACCATGAACTCCTTCCCACTGAGGAGGACTCAGCTCAGTTTTTGTTGGGGAGTCCCTAAAATCCATCCACAGTACCCCTTAATTCTCCAAGTCAGAAATCTGTTGGGGTGGTGTTAGAGGTTTGTTTGTGCTGAGGTCATCTTCTGCAGTCTATACCACCACCCCTCATTTTCTTTTTCTTTGAATTTCCTTTATATGTGGGGGTGTTTTTCTGTGCACCATAGGGGTGCCAGGTGCCAGCCAAAAGAGGGCATCCAAGCTCTTGAACTGGAGTTGCAGTGGTTAGCTTTGCTGACATTAAATAGACTTCATTTTTCCTTTAATTCAGTTAATTAGAACACACAGTAAGCCATAACTTCTAGTGCAGGACTGTCATGTCAGCTACTTAGAAGGCCAGGACAGGAAAGTCATACGCCCAAGGCTACAGAGAGAATTCAAGGACAGCATGCGCAACTTAGCAAGTCTCTCTCTCTCTCTGTCTCTGTCTCTCTCTCTAACTGGAAACTGTGCTGGTGTGAGATGGCTCAGTGTGACTGACTGCTTCCAAGACTGAGCTTGATCCTCAAGGACCCACACGGCAAAAGGAAGTCCTCGGACTTGAATGCCTGTGCTGTGATGTCAGTGGACCTTGAGACCCACACCCATATACACACAGATTTTTTAAATGTAATAAGAAATTTGGCCAGTTGTGGTGGCACATGCCTTTAATCCCAGCACTCAGAAGGCAGAGGCTGGCAGATCTCTGAGTTCCAGGACAGACAGCCAGGATTATATAGTGAGACACTGTCTAAAAAAAAAAAAAAAAAAAAAAAAAAAAAAAAAAAAAGAGCCAACAAACTAAGTGCAGATCTTATCTGATGTCTGATCTGAACAAGGAAACCGAGGGGTTCTGAACATGGGTTGGGTATATTATAGTTTTAATGTCATTTGCCATAAACTAGAATCACCCGAGTAGGGAGCCTCTTGGAGAGAACTGTCCTGATTGCCTGTTCAGTGTGGGACACCCACCCAGCAGTGGTTGCACTCTTGGTTGCAGCCCAGGTCAAAAGGACATTTCAAGGACCTGGCCTCCCTCTTTTCCCCAGAGTTGAACTGCTTCTGCTGCTGCTGCCACCTCTGTTGTTGAAGTGATCTGCAACGTCTTGCAGGCAGCAGAGGAAGTGAAGTGGGAAGGCCTGAGTGAATGTGTTGCAGACATAGGCATGGCCATGTCTTAGCCCCCCTTAGCCTCAGGCTCAAAGGGATGGCAAAACCTTCTTTGGGGGACCAAGTGCAAGCATTGACAGTGTGTGTGAAAATGTCCATCATAAGATTTCTCCCCCTGAATGCTTATGGCCTAAAGACTGCTCCATACGGAGACTGTACCTGTCAGTAGTAGGTAAACCTCCCTCCTTGCAGCTCTATCATAAACCCTGCTTTCTTGTTTATTTGTTTGCAATAATGCTCTGTTCAACTGTATGCAATGAACACACTGAGCTGGGGGAGCTGTGGATTCTGCATCAGAGAGCCCAGTCCATCTTATCTCAGCTTCCTTCTTCCTTCTTTTCCTCTTCCTCCTTTTTTATTTTTATTTTTAAAGATGGTTTCTCTGTGTAGCAGCTTGGCTGTCCTGGAGCTTCCTAGGTAAACCAGACTGGCCTCTACCTCCTGAGCTCCGAGATTAAACGTGTGTGCCGCCACATCTGTCTATCTCTGTTATTTCTTTTTCTTTTTAATAATTTCTTTATTTTTACTTTATATGCGTTGGTGTTTTGCCGGCATGTATGTCTGTGTAAGGATGTCAGCTCTTGGTTATAGATAGTTCTGGGCTGCCATATGTATGCTAAAATTGTGCTGGTTAAGAGCCAGTGCTCTTAACTGTTGAGCCATCTCTACAGCCCTCTGTTAACTTCTTTCTGGATTTTTTATTTGTTTGTTTGTTGTTGGTTTTTTGTTTTGGTTTTCAAGTGGGGTTCTCTGTTTTAGCCTTGGCTGTCATGGAACTCACTCTATAGACCAGGCTGGCCTCAAACTCCCAGAGATCCTGCTTGCCTCTGCTTCCTGAGTGCTGGGATTAAGGCATGTG